TTTAGGAAAAAAAATTTCGTTCTTTTGTTTTTACTTTTTGGCAATGAAACCAAATTTTATAACCAATTGTGGAAAAAAATATCACTTTAATGGACAATTTTCATGTGAAACAAAGTCAAACGAATACTAAACTTTGATAAAAAAATGATTTTTTAGGAAACAATTTTTTTTCCATTTTTTTTTAAACTTTTGGCAATGGAAACAAATTTTATAACTAATTGTGGAAAAAAATATCACTTTAATTGACAATTCCATGTAAAACAAAGCCAAACGAATAGAAAATTAAAAAAATTTCAGGTGGAAAATTATAACAATCAAACACACTTGAAATCATTTTCCCTGTAAAACATTTTCTTTCCACCCATTTTCCACCCTTGCAATCAAACGCACCCTAAGTGTATCGATTTCATGCTTACAAGACATGATTTAAATTACCCGCATTACGCGTNTGAAATCATTTTCCCTGTAAAACATTTTTTAAGCAAACATTTTCCATGTAAAACATTTTATTTCCACCCATTTTCCACCCTTGCAATCAAACGCACCCTAAATTATTTATAAATTATCAAACTTCGTTTTCAACTACACATTTTAATGGATTGACAAATGTTATTCATTTATCCGCCACTCTATTGTATCTATTTATAAATTTTACCGATCGTAAATTCTTCCCAAATAGAGGTTTAATATGGAATTTCAACACAGACTAGAATGAGAATTTGAGTTTTCCTAAATGGTAATTTTACCGATCGTAAATTCTTCCCAAATAGAGGTTTAATATGGAATTTCAACACAGACTAGAATGAGAATTTGAGTTTTCCTAAATGGTCAGATATCGAGCCCATTGCCTTCCCATTGGCCCCTTTCTCCATTGAATTGAATAGGGTGAGAAAGATAGGTTCGAAAATGGTCAGATTAGCAGGAGTATGTGTCAACGCTAGACAAATACAGGAAGAATGATGATAGCATGGTGGAATTTGGAGTCATTACCTGATCAACCTTTGAGCTAATTCCGATTGTCTTATTGATTCTCTTCCCAAAGCAAGAAAGAATTTCTTTTAAACACCACCGGAAAAATTGATACTCAGGGCAACCCAAAAACACGGTGTTAGCCAATTTTAAGGGTGACGTGTGGTATACAAAAATAACATATCAAATTAATACTATGAACAGATAAATACCATAATATTTCAATAACATCATTATATTATGTCCGAACATACCTTAATACAATAGAAAATGAAGAAATCTCAACAGAAATCCTTCCAAAATCCCAGTTTCCTTCATTTTTGCTGCACAACAGCCAAGCAATTTGATACTAATTTGAACACATAATCCATTTCGGTGCTCAATGCCGGCGGCACATCAGCACCCATTTCTTCAAATGCATCAGTGCAATCACTGATAGTTGCTGCACTCAAATACGTCAACAATGTGCCTTGGTCTTTCTTCTCTAGCGACTCCAAACTCGTCTCGAGATCGTATACTGTATTGTCAAAATTATCCTGGCAGGTGGCTAGAATCGATTCTTGCGTTGTGGCTCGCATGCTGGAAAGTGCAGGTGGAATCAGATTGGAAATCGATTGGAGTTTCTTGGCTGCAACAAGTGTGTTTTCCATGGCGTTTTTGGATGCATCATGCATGGTTTTTGAGCCATTCACCATTTTTGTGCAGAGTTCTTTGTGGCTTGCGGTTTTGCAGAATTCGTTTACGGGTTCGGGTTGTTGGGATTGAGTACTCTGGACAAGAAGAAGAAGAGCAGTCATGGCCGGAAAGAGCAATGAGATTTTTGGAGCCATTATTCGGCTCCTTCTCTCTCTCCTTTATTGTTATATTCTCTCGAGCCAAAAGAATGTTATTCTTGAGAATGTTTGATTATATATAAGATGGTTTCAGACAAAAATAGTTACCTATTTTTCTGCAAGTGAAGGGTTGTCCTTATTATGGGGAACTAGACAACTACGATAAATTTAGCTCATGTTTGGCGTGACTTCAAAAAGTTGGTAAAAATTTAAATCAAAACTAAAAATTAATTTTTACCTTAGATTTCATTAAAAATCCCCAACTTTATCAATTTTTCTACCACATATTTCATCAAATTTATCAACTACCTCTATGGCCTTCTTACTGCGGGCATGAGGACTTCCACCACCAAACTCGATGAAAAACCACATGCTTTGATAGCCCATATTTGACAACCATTATTTCAAAACTCTTTAATTCTCATACTTATTTTCAATCATACATTTACACAATAAAATCTTTGCACATAAATCCAAAACCTTTTCTTACTTTTTAATAGCACATTATCCAAAAAATCACTATTCAAAACTCATTTTTTACACAAAATAATGGCCATCAAAGAGGGGCTTAGGAAGTTGAGGTTCAATAACGAACCAAAAGGAGGTCTGAACTTGTTCGAGCCAATCCGAAGAATAACAAATGAAGAAGAATTAAGAAGAAGAGAGCTTGAATGTATTTCTGTATTCTATATTCTGCCTGAAAATGAAAATTACGCAATTTCTACATCAGATTCACTATTTTAATCACAAGTCTTATTAAAAATCTACTGAAAATTTGATTTTTACAACTGTTGTGTCTTATAAGATATTTTTCAGCGATAATCCAATTTTAAGTTTTCAAATATATTTTAAATCGTAAAATATCCCCTAAAATTCTCCTTTCCTTTGCATCAGGACCACTGGCGAGTCAGGGGAAGACACTTTTTTGCCCTGATATGGAGATTCAACCGGGCTAAGATGCTAAACGGTAGAGAAACGACATTTTTCGGAAGAGTTTATAAACGGTTTAAATTATAAATGGATAGAAAAGTGGCTTAAATATCTTTCGAAATAAATAAAAAAGTGGCTTAAATATTTATGAACACAAGCCAAGCATAAACATTTGCACAAAAACAATAAATAAGATAAAAAAAAGTATACTAGCGGAGACAA